GCATTTCTTTTCAACGAAAACTGTCCAGTAAAGAGTATTGAAGGACATTTGTGGCTTATTTATATAAGGCACTCCAGGAAAGCCTTTCTCAGGAAGGGTTTTTGAGCAAAGACCTGAAGAAGTCAATAGCTCTCATCTTTTCCCATGAGAAATTATGAGCAAGTAAGTCAACAGCACAAAGTCTCTTTGGCAGAAATGAACTTGGCTTAGTAACAAACAATAATACCAGTTTGGTTTGATCAGGACATGAGAGGTAAGAGATCTTGGGAGTCAGGAAAGCTATTGATGTAATTTCCCTTTTAAAATACGTCTTTCTGGCTGACAGATGGAGATGGGACTGGATAAAGTAAAGAGTTGGTGCAGGTAGATGAGCAAATAACTGAGTGAGAAGTTAGTATGATCTGAACCAGCAGCATGCCCAAGCATATGAGTGATGAAGAGAAGTAGCCAACCTTGGCATAAAGCCCATAGGATTAATCCTGTTTGGGGCCTGGGAAGGGCAGGTAATGATAGAAATTAAGTTTGTTTCTGCATAAGTTTGAAGAAACTATAAAACATGTATACAGAGATGTTGAATACAGAGTTAAATGTCCACATAGGAGGCCAGGAAAGAGGCAAGCAAAAACTAAAAATAGATTTGGAGGAATTTTAAGAATATGTATGTGACTTGAGTAATTGGCTTGATATAAATAAATATTGTTAGAGGAGAGAAAAGTCTCTATTTTGTAAAAAATAATTTTTTTGTGTGTGTGTTTCTGTGGACATGCATGTATGTGTGTGGATATCTGTGGAGGCCAGGAGAGGATATTATCCCTTGGAGCAGGAATTACAGGTATTGGTGAACCACACAAAGTGGGTGATTGAATCTCGCGATAGAGCAGCAACTGTTCTCAAACACTGAGCATCTCCTCAGTCCTGAGGATAGGTTCTGAACCTTGTACAACTCCACTTCTACTAGAGACTGGAAAAACAAGGTGGTCAACCAAGAAGATATAAGAAAAGTGGACAATAACAACTGAGCTATAGCAGATTTAATTTAACTAGAACTCAGCAAAGAGCACACTCTAAGAAAAAATAACTCCCACTATGGATTATATTTCTGGGAGGGGGAAAGAAAGAGGACTAAGAATTGACTAGCATTTTCTACTGGTTGGAATCCATGGCAGACTTTAACTGCTCCTTTGGAGCTAGAAGCAGGAAGAGGCCTATTGTACCTGAAGAGTCAGGGATGGGAACTAATAAAAAGAGAGGCAATGGAGAACTGCTACTATAGGTCACTTTTTTGATGGGCTTTGCTAAGTGGTACAAGGTGGGAAAGTTGGAAGGAAATAAAGTGAAGATTGGTCAATTTACTTAAAACATTATTTTGCATATTAAGCAAATGATTATGTGTAGAAAATCTTTCAAAAAGATCTTCTAATGCACTGTGGCAATGTTGTTTTGTACAAGAAGAAAGGCAGGCAAAGGAAACTTGACATCTTAATAGCATCCTTTAAGGAATTTGTGAAAGTCAATCTTCATTTTCAATTTGACTGGATTTTATAACACCTGAACGCACGTCTGAGTTTAACTGAGAGGAGAGGGTACACCCTGAGTGTAGGTGGTAAACAGTCCAGTTACTGAAGTTCTGGACTAAATTAAAAGGGAAAAAAGAAGAGCAACTGGATACCAGCTTTTAATTCTGTCTCCTTGTGATTATGGACAAAATGCGGCCAGCTACACTATGTCCCAGTTGCCATGCCTTCCTCAGCAAGATGAGCCAAAACAGACTTCCATCTTTACATTGCTTTTGTCAGATATTTGTTGTTACAGCAAAGAGAAAAGTAACCAAAAATATAAAACTGGAGCCAAAATCAGGATTGTTGCTATTATAAACCTGACCATATGGCTTTTAGACCTTCTGAATTGGTTGTTTAGAGTACTGTTGACAGTACTATGATTAGAGGATCCCTGGAGTGCTTAAACAAAGCTTGATAAGCTATTGAGTGGGAATTCAGAAAGACTAGGGTGCTAAAAGAAATGCAGACAGTAGAGGCTGGACCCATAAGGATTCAGAAGGGATCTTAACCTAACCGAGTATTGAATTAGAAGTCATTTATGTCATATTCTGGCAAGTAATCTTGCTGTATTCTGCTCAAGTCCAGAAAAATCTGAGTGAGACTGAACAATAAGGATGCCAATAAACATGCCAAACTGCAGGAGGAAAAGCCCACAAGGCCTCAAACCTGTCAAAGAATTACAAGTAACTAAGGAAAACTGGAAGCAGGAGAGGTGGCCCTCTCCAGGGAAGAGCATGTCAATTGGTTGTCCAGTGTCAAAGAGCAAGCACTGAAAACGTACATCCAGATAACAGCATATGGATACAACAGGTTGTATTTAGAAATTATGTATTTATATATAAGTACATATATGCATATTGACACAACAGGTTATAATTAGGAATTATATATTTCTATACAAATACATATATGCATGCATTAATAATTTGTAAAAAGAGGCTAAGAATTTGAAGAGTAGAAAGGAGTATATGGAAGGGTTTAGAAAGAGAAAAGGGAAGGGAGACATGTTGTAATTAAATTAAAATCTTATTATGATTTTTTTTTTGGTTTTTTGTGACAGAGTTTCTCTTTGTAGCTTTGGAGCCTTTCCTGAAACTCATTCCGTAGCCCAGGCTGACCTCTAACTCACAGAGATCCACCTGCCTCTGCTTCCCAAGTGCTGGAATTAAAGGTGTGTGGCACCACCACCCGGCTTTTAAATTAAAATCTTAAAAATAAAATTTAAGAGTATGTTTTTAGGGGAAGGAAATGTGAAAACAACATAATATCTAGGCTGTGACATGGTTATTGCTTACTGCTCTTCATCAAATCTGTAGTCAGAAGGAAATACATAAAAACTGCAGCTTGGTGATAAATGGCCTGAGAACTAGTTTAAAGTTGCATGCACAACTGTGAAGAAAGCAGCTGTAATTGTTAAAGATATTAGCACTTCTAGAAAAACCTTATACTTTGCAAATGACAATGGGGGAGGTGTCTGGAAGACAAGATCCCCCATCAAAGTCTTCAATTTATGAAGATGAAGATTTGTTTAAAAAGAGAGAGACTTAGGAGAAATCCCTGAGAGTTTTTTGCTTTCAAACAAACTAAATAGTGGTTTTCTAGTTTTAGCCACTTAGGTGCACAAATGCCTCCTCAGAAAAGTTCCCAACTGTGCATTTAACTGGCAGCAGAATTTAGCAGGGTTATCCATATGGCATAGCAGGCATGCAAAATGCAAACATTGCAGGGTTGCAGAAGGTTACATCAAGGTTCTAGAGAAAAGTCAAATTCTCTGCAACAAGACTAAGAGGGACCATTATGTGACATCGTGGAGGTGAGGCAAAACTTTCAGCAGACACAGCAACATGTTGGAGATATGAGGACCATGGGGTACAGACTGAGGAAAGCTGGAGACACTGAGTGAAGCCAGCCCGAGAGAGAAGTTGCAAGCACTGAGAGTGGCTGAAATGGATGGGCAGGCCTCCCTGAGCTCAATGAAGCTCAGCTGCTGCCCTCACAAGCCTGGGGTGCTGGACACACAGCTGAAGAGTTTGGCATTTGTCCTACTGGGTTTGGGTCTTACCCTGGTCTGGCCTAACAGTTCACTCATCCCTCCCTTTTGGAGTGAGAATGTTTCCTTTGTGCTCTTATAAATTGGAAGTAAGTGAGTTGATTTTGATTTTACAGGATCTTGCAGTTAGGAGCTTGCCTTGAGCCTCTGGAGAGAAACTAGCTTTTGAACAATATTAGTTCTGTTAGGAATCCAGACACTTACAGATGAAGTAGGTACATTTTTGCATCAGGAGATAGCTAGGAGCTTTTGAGGACAAGGGTTAGGAGATTATGGTTTAAAAGTGATGTGAATCTTTATAATAGCTATTCTTAACAAATTAGCTCGATTTACAATCACCCAAAATGCACCTCTGGTGTTTCTGTAAGGTGTTTCCACTGAAAATTAACTGAGAATGGAAGACCCATTCTAGACGTTTATGCTGCCATCCCATGGGATAAGGTCCTAACTGAATAGAAAGAGAAAAAAAAAAGAAAGTAGAAGTAGGGAGATCAGTTATATAAAAAAAATGTCCAATTTTAATAAATGAATAATTAGCAATACACACCATCAATTTAAGATAAATCTCTGAAATGTAGGAAAGGTTTCAAATAAGCAATACAACATAATTTTCTAGAGCATTTATTTTAATAACTCTCATCAAAATCTTGATTTGTAAAAAAATCAATAATAATACTGTGTAGAGAGTAACCAAACTATGTAGACAGTAAATAGATCACTGAGTACATAGAATTTTGATAGACAAAGGAAGAAGATTTTTAGAGCAGTAAAAAAAATACTGTATGATACTATAGTGACAAATACCATTGCCTAAACATACAGACTATACACATCAAGAGTGAACCCCAATGTAAACTGGGGGCCATAATTATGATGTGACAATGTATGTGGTGATATTTTATTTGTATTGAAATGTGGTATTATTTTATTTGTGCTTTAATAAAGCCTACCTGGAGATCAGGGGAAAAGGCCAGCCATTTTAAGTAAATAAGAAGTCAGGCCATACATGCCCTTAATCCAATCACTTATCAGGCAGGGTCTCTGTGTGTTCAAGGCCATACTAGGGAACAGAGCCAAGTGTGGTGACACAGGCCTTTAATCCCAGTACCAACCATGGAGACCTGGAGGTCTCTACAGACAGGCCGTGACAAGGAAGTGCGGTAGATGGGCTAAGATAGCCAAGGAGAGGTCAGAACAGTAAGGCAATAAAGGCGTGGGTAAGACAGGAAGTAGATCACATTTGGAAGCTGCAGAGTTGGTGAGGTAAGTGTTGTGGATATCTGTATGCTATGAAAGTGCTGCTCTGATTGGTTAATAAATAAAGTGCTGATTGGCCAGTAGCCAGGCAGGAAGGGTGGGACAAAGAGAGAGGAGAATTCTGGGAACAGGAGGGCTGAGTGAGGAGACGCTGCCAGCCACTGCCATAAGAAGCAAGATGTAAAGATACTGGTAAGCCACGAGCCACGTGACAAGGAATAAATTAATAAAAATGGGTTAATTTGAGTGCTAGAGAGGTCCCCAGGAATCCACAAAGATGACTCCACTGTAAACCACTGGCAGTGGTTGAGAGGGTGCCTGAGCTGACCTACTCTGGTGATCGGATGGCCAAACACCCTAACTGTCATGATAGAACCCTCATTCAGTGATTGATGGAAGCAGATGCAGAGATCCATGGCCAAGACCTAGGCAGAGCTCCAGGAGTCCAATCGATGAGAGAGAGGAGGGATCATATGAGCAAGACATATCGAGACCATGATTGGAAAAAGTACAGAGACAGCTAGGCAAACTAGTAGAAATACATGAACTGTGAACCAACAGCTGAGGAACCCCCATGGAACTGGACTAGGCCCTCTGGATAAGTAAGACAGTAGTTTAGCTTGAACTGTTTAGGGGCCCCCCAGGCAGTGAGACTCGGACCTGTACTCAATGCATGAGCCGGCTTTTTGGAGCCTACTGCCTGTGTTGAGACCCTTTGCTCAGCCTTGGTACAGGGAGGAGGGGATTAGACCTGCCTCAATGGAATGTACCAGGTTCTGCTGACTCCCCAGGGGAGACCTTGCCTTGGAGGAGGTGGGAATGAGTGGTGGGTTGAGGGAGAAGGCTGGGGGGGGGGAGGAGGGAGGACAGGGGAGTCCTTAGTTGATATGTAAAATCAATAGAAAAATCCCTTAATTAAAAAAAAAAGAAAAGGGCCAGGCGGTGGTGGCGCACACCTTTAATCCCAGCACTCGGGAGGCAGAGGCAGGCGGATCTCTGTGAGTTCGAGGCCATCTTGGTCTCCAAAGCGAGTTCCAGGAAAGGCGCAAAGCTACACAGAGAAATATATTAAATGTTTTTTTTTTTTAAGAAGATATAAGAACTAGGTAGCAAAAGTCCTGAGCCATTAGGACAAATGGTTTAAATAATGTAAGTGTCTGTGTGTTAATTTGGGTCTGAGTGGCTGTGGTCCCAGGTGGGACTGGAGATAACACAGCTACAGGTAAGGTTAGCTGGTGGCTTTCTCTATTTCCCTGATCTCTCTAAGGCTTCCACTCCTATATTTGGCACTGTGTTTTTTTTATTTAATAAGGCCATTTAGAAATTTGTCTAAAAATGTAAGCTTATAAGTTTTAACAAATACACCATTCAGTTGTGGGATGTTGAATTCTAATCATGTATGGTCCAGGCATATCCAGAAAGTATTTTATATGCCTCTTATTTTCACTATGAACCCAAACTTTCTTTAAAAATATTATCTAAAGAAATCAGGAAAATAAGTCTAAATATTGTGTTGATATTATAAATAGAATAATTTCCTTGGAATTATAATCTCAAATCTTTACAACTTCTCTAGGATGACTTTTGCCATTATATTCAAGGCTATAAACACAAGCTAGATTTAAAAAATGAAGTAGGGCTGGAGAGATGGCTCAGGGTTTAGGAATGCTGGTTGTTCTTCCAGAGGACCTGGGTTCAATTCCCAGCACCCACATGGCAGCTCACAAATTTCTGCAACTCCAGTTCCAAGAGATCTGACACCTTCACACCAGTGTACATAAAATAAAGTTAATAAATCATTAAAAAGATAAAAAATGAAGTAATAAGAAGTAAAGACCTTTTTTGAAAAGTCTGTATGTGTTCCATATTTCAAAATGGATGTTCTAAAAGATATAATTCATTGTATCTAAAAGATATTCAAACGATATCATAGATTCGTTCTGATTCAGGTAAAGCTTTGATCTGAAATAAATTCTCTATATAATAAAAGGTCTTTGGTAAATGTTTGCTGTAAGCTACAAAAATGCGTGAATGAGTATTTGCTCAAAGATTGTTAGAGAACAGTAAATGTTTTTATCTTGATGATCACTGAAGAACATGTGTTGCATGTCACATTCTTTCCTTATTGAGAAGTGAAAATCTGCTGATATCTTTGCCAAATTCTCTGCAGGCCTGGGCTGTGACATTTCACTTCATAGATCTTGAGATCATTAGCATATATATTTTATTCTGGGTAGGTAAGATAAGTCAACAGACATTGTGAAAAAATATCTAAAAACAAAAAGAAAGAATAGCTAATTTCTCACATATGCTGGAATAAAAATACATGATTTCATCATAAGAATCAAGTGTACTAATTAAAGTAGTTAGTTAGTATTTTAGACTAAGTTTATTGTTCTCTTCAAAACTGTAATTTAGGTTGTAACTTTAAATTTATTGTATATGGAATTTAATATGATTTGACATTATTTTAATAAAATGTATAGCATATTTCATCAATATGTATTTCTACCAAAATGCTGTGAAAATGGGAAATATATTTAGTAGCCAGAGAATATATTGTTAACATAGACTATTGCATAATGCTAGGAATATGAGGGACTCTACAAAAGTCATTTCACAAACAAAAATTTGGGACATCCTAAATTTCCAAAGTAAAATATGCATTTGTAGTCTATGCTTGATAATTATAATCAAGGAGTACCTCTCTATGCCTTTGTTTCCTAGGCTTTATGGAAGGCTTTATTATCATAACACAAAAGAAGAAATAAAAAAATTATTTTAAAGTCCCTGGCAAACCTAGAATGTTATGTGAATTTTAAATGTAAATAATAATTAAGGAGAATATATCCCCTCAAAAAATATTAGATATTCAAGCTACTGATCTATTTAAAAATGAGTAAGAGGCTTCTGAAACCAGACAAGTCTGGGTTTGCATCTCAGTTTCTTTACTTTGTATTCACTTAGGAGACTTGCTTAACCCTTCTGGCTTTTTAAAAATACACATAATTTTTCTTATCAAAGAAATAGATAGACTACTCTGTGTAAAATTTAGTGCATATAAATTATATACTGAGCAGTCACAAATTTTCTTTCCTCTTTTCTGAATGATAAATTTCCCTTAACAAGAGTTTTAAAAGGACAAAGATAATGCAATTACTCAATGAGATAAGTGAGTGTTAGAACTCTATAATTCCTAGTAGATTACAATTCTCAGTGTAGGCATTAGATTATTTTTATAGACATACACAATTCTTAGGTACTCTAAATGGTAATGAAGGGGAGGAAGAATTCTTGTTATGTAATAATGAGCAGACCTTTCTCCTCCTGTGATAGCTAAGAATGAGCTTGGTTCTTACTACTAAGCTACTAAGAGTGTGATTTGTGATCAAACCTACTGTGAAAACCATTTCCAATCAAAAGGTCATCCTTGTATTCTAGAGCGTTTTAGGACTTGAATTTTTTCACATTTTAGAGTATTAGTATATACATGAGATAGCATTAGACTCGTATCCAAAAGTGCAGTTAATGTTTATACCGTAGACACCATTGCTAAGAAGTCTAGGGGAAAGTACTCACTTAATTCTAGTAATTTCAGCCTAATACACTCATTGTCTTTGGACAATCTGTACATAGTGATGTGTATTTCTGAATAATTTCTCAACTTGCCTCGTGTTCCTATACTCTCTATAGTATTATATCTTTACCTGGTTTTGTTCCTGTTTAAGGTACAGTGGATTTATTGCATAGCAGATTTTTCACATGAAAGAAAATGTGTTGGTTTTGTTTCTCCCAAGTTTTTAAAATGATTTGCCACCTTTAATGCAATCTTTTACAAAACATGCTTCAGTTTGGTATCCTGGGCCTCTCACATATGTTTCTCCTTTCCCTGGGGATTTAAATCAACAGCCATCTAACCAGTCAATATCTGTATTCACAGTAAATTTTGCTTTCTTGTACCTAGGGTTTTATGCTCTAGGGAATGAGTTTATAAATAAATGAATAATGTCTGTTCAAGGATGATATGTAAACTGACTCATAATTGTGATAGATTCAGTTTCAACTCTTGCATCTTGTAATGGACTTGCTGGGTCCTCTGCCCTTTTGAAGACTCAGTGGACAAGATAGACAGAAAATGTCTTAATAAACTGTTTAGTAAACTTACTCCACTGGCAAAGGATGCATGTTTACAAAGAGTACAAAGTTTGCTTCTCCTTAGGAGAGGAAAACAACAACAAACACACCAGGAAACAGGTGTTTCTGAGACTGCAGCTATTTAATCTGCTTCCAATTGGGAGGTGACGATCTGTACCCCTTTTTACCATTCTCTTAGTGAGTTAATATCCCCACAGCATTTTGTACACATGTCTATCACAATCCTCTTGTTATATTTAAATGATTTCCTAACTGCCTCTTCTGAGACACTATGTGTCACTAAGTTACAAAGGTAGCTTTTCATCCTCTTTAGTCCTATACCCACTATTGAAGGTATTATCCACAATATGCTGCTTGAGACATGATGATTAATGTTAACTGTCAGTTTGACAGGATCTGCAATAACCTAGGAGACAGGCCACACCACCAGCCACATCTGTGAGGGATTATTTAGTCTCTGGCGGTGTTCCTGTGAGGGATCATGTTGATCCAGTTTATTAAGGTGTAAAAATTCACACTAAAGGTAGGTGGCACCATTCCCTGAGCTTGGGTCTTAGAAGGTATAAAGAAGATGGAGTTATGCTGTGGATATCGCTCTGTATAAATAAAACACTGATTGGCCAGTAGCCAGACAGGAAGTATAGGCAGGACTAACAGAGGAGAATAGAGGGAACAGGAAGGCAGAGAGGGAGACACTGCCTGCAGCCACCGCCAGGACAATGAGCCACGAGCCATGTGGCAAAGTATAGATTAATAGAAATGGGCTGTATATAAGAGTAAGAGCTAGACAATGATAGGCCTGAGCTAATGGCCAAGCAGTTTAAATAATATAAGCATCTGTATGTTTATTTTATAAGTGGGCTAAGGGACTGCCAGGGATTGGTGGGACCCAGAGAGAAAACTTTCTAGCTACAGAGATAGCTCAATACAAACATTCATCGTTGTCTGCTTCTGGAGTTATGTACAATGTAATTAGATTCTTCAGGATCCTGCCACTGTGAATTCTCCACCATGAGGGACTGTAACTTCTGTGAGCCAAATAATATCCCTTTTCCTCTAAGTTGATTAGTTCAGGGTGTTTGCTCACAGCAACAGGAAAGAAGGTAATAGACTTAAGCATTTGCTAGACAAACTAGAATTTCCTGCTTAACACGGGGTGGGGGCAATTCTCTCTCAGTTGGCTGTTGGAGACTGGTGGACACATAATGTGGTCAGGGAAAGCAGATAGGCATCACCAACTTGTAATTGCCAGTGTTGGCACCTCTTTGCCTTAAGGACCTTTCCAATGCTGAGGAAAAGGATTGTTAGAAGTCCACCACAAGCCTGCAGTGCCAGAGGGCTATCACTCCAAATAAGACCATCAACAAATAACTGACAACAGTTGATGTCCTTTGCTCTAGGGTGGGTTCATTTAGGGATGTGTGTCCTGATGAAGGTTTTTTAGTTTCTTAGTTAGCCACAGGAAGCACTAGCTTTTCTCCATTAGCTGTCTTTTCTTCTCTGTTGTACTGGTTCCTGTCCTGCCTGTTGTTTCTTGTACCTCTCCCAAGATTCGTTTGTATGCAAGTCCTATTGGGTCTGCTTATAATACAAACCAGTCTATGCCTAAACCAAGATGGACAATCAGATTCTGCCTTGGGATTCTGGAATTGAAGCAATGCAGTTTTTTTCCCCTAAACAGATGTGTGTATGTGAAAGTGTGGGGAGGTGGGAGAGTAAGGGGGTGGCAAAGCAGATGTAAAGAGCAAGACTATGGAGCTCTCTGGCCAGCCAGCCTAGCCCCAAAATGGTGAGCTCTGGATTCAGTGAGAGACCTTTTCTCACAGAAATAATATAGTAATATAATAAATCAGGACATGCAAGATCCTTTAAAGGCAAACACTAGAGCGCATGCACCTGTATATGTAATACTGCACACACACACACACACACACACACACACACACACACACACACACAC